TGTATAACGGTAAGGGTATATATGAGCCACTTTGATAACAAGGGGCATATCAGCTCCAAATGACAAAGTTGAGGGGTATATCATACCCTTTTCCTTAAATTAATATAACTTAATGAAAAAAAGAATTTATTTTTAGTATCAAACTTAACTAGAAAAAGAAAATATTAAAAAAGTTATGTGGGACGGGTTCATGCAGGGCAAGTTTATGCAGGGTGGGGTGGGACGGGTGGAAAATGAAAAAAGTTGTTATACGGGGTGGGGTAGATTAAAAATTTTGCGGATTAAGCTCAACCCACTCACCCCATACCGCACCGCCCCATTGCCATCCCAATTTGTATCATACTCAAAGTACTTATAAACTCATTAACATAATTAGCAGATAAGCTGAGCAATTCTTCTTAGAACTAGAGACCTTGATACTCTTTTGATGATTGGTACAGTACAATGTGGCAATTTCACAATACAACATGTTAAATGGATTATTAAAGCTATTGTAGCAAATGTGGCAATTTCTTCAGCTTGCAATCCAGAGTTCATTCAATGTTGCATTTTCTGTACCTAATAGATAGTTTATTTTTCTTCCAAGATCCATAGATGTTTATTAATCAGTAGCTAAGCCAAGAATCTGCAATAAGAAAATAAGTAATCAGAAAGTTGCAACTATGTGATTCAAAAGGAACAAAAGAGATAAATTTAAGAAAGAATAGAGAAGTATCACTTCCTTGCTAAAACTGTGGCTTTTTAAACAGACTAGTTTTTCGACATTTAAGTGAAGATTTGAATAATAAGGTTTGCACAAAATAATATTGCAGATTCTTTTGTAAATGTTCAATGTGGATCGTCATATATATCTCTTATTCACACGAACCTATGAAAATGGTCAATGAAAATTTTTATTAGTTAAATGAAATAATGTATATATTTATTTCAATATGATGAGGTTCAATCATGTAATTAGTTGTATATCACCAATATTACCTTATAGACGATATTTGTTGTGTATTTTTCTTCTCATCTAACCAGATGTGCTTTGCACGTGTATTCCACTTAATCTGTTTAGATGTCATATGAACATGTTGAGAACAAGTACATTTTATTTTTTAGAACTATTTTTGTATATTAATTTTTATTTTATAAGTTATAATATAATAGATGACGTTCTTTTTGTTGACTCTCATATTTGACTTCTCGATTGATTGTGTACATAAAACAAAGATAGTTATATGACTGTCCATATTTAACTGAGAAAGGTTTCCTTTTTTTTTTTTACTAAAAAACTAAAAATTAAAATTAATATATTCTATCTGTGAAATCATATATATAATCACATGTTTATCTTACATCCAACAAAGATATAGTTCATATACTTGTAAACAATTTTCAATTTACTCAAACAAGCATGATTCATCCAAGGAAAAATAACAACACTGTGTTAACACATATATAGGGGCGGTATAATAATATGAAAAATTATTGGTCAAAAGTTAATATAAGAAAAGATGAATGATAGAAATAATTAATGTACTAACTATGAGAATTCATAATATTATAACTAAAGAATGTAAAAGAGTGTGAATAACATTTGCAATAGATAGTAACAACTTATACTTACATAAATAAATAGGACATTTAATTAATGCTACTATTTTTTTTTTATAGTTATTAGATTTTAGTTTAGTATAGAGACAAAATGAAAATGTTTACTCCATATTACTGAATATAAAATTTATTTTGTTAATGATACATTTTAAATGATTCATATATATTCACATATTTTCACATTTGTTGTGAGTTTTTTTTCTCAAAGAAAAGGAACTTGGGAAATTTTAAAATAATATATTTTGATGTAAGAAGATCTTGTTAACTTGATAATACATTCGTGACATATATATATATATATATATATATATATATATATATATATATATATATATAAATTAAACAAATACATACTTCAATTGGCGTTATTAGAAGTCTTATGAACTTTTCTTCGTCGAAAATACTGAAATATTAAGAAATAGTAAATTAGTAAAACAAAAGGGAAATGTTAACATAGTAATAACTATTTTGAAGCAAACTTCCTGACAATCTAAATTATATAAGTAGTATTGATAAACAAACTAATTCTTTTGTATTGAGCATCAAAAAAATAAATTATGACAATTCTCTAACTCTTGAGAATTTTATTAGTTTTGGAAAAAGATATTCAGAAACATATATCTACATCACAAGAGAAATTGTTAACAAAAACAAATCAATTTAGACTACAATAAAAATTAAACTAATACAAATTTCAACTGACGTTATTACAAGTCATATGAACTTTTCTTCGTCGAAAATATCGAAATATTAAGAAATTGTAAATCAGTAATAAAAAGGGGAATATTTATATAGTAATAACTATTTTGAAGCAAATTTCCTAGCAGTCTAAATCACATAAGTAACATTGATAAATAAAGTCATTCTTTTGTCTTGGGCAGTAAAAAATAAATCATGACAATTCTCTAACTTTCAAGAAGTTTAATAATTTTGGAAAAATGTATTCAGAAGCATATATCTACATCACAAGAGAAATTGTTAACAAAAACAAATGAATTTAGACTACAATAAAAATTAAACCAATACATACTTCAACTGACATTATTACAAATCGTATAAACTTTTTTTGGTCGAAAAATACTTTATTAAGAAATAGTAAATCAGCAAAATCAAAGGGCAATGTTTATATAGTAATAACTATTTTGAAGCAATCTTCTTGACAATCTAAATCACATAAGTAACATTGATAAATAAAACTATTCTTTTGTCTTGAGCATAAAAAAAAACAAACCGTGACAAATTCTCTTACTCTTGAAAAGTTTAATAATTTTTTAATGAGATATTCAGAAGAATATATCTACATCACAAGAGAAATTGTTAAAAAAAATAAATGAATTTAGACTACATCATGTTAACTTCATATATTGGAACATTACATACTTACGTATATACTAAGAAAAAAATGATTATTATATCATCACAATTATTTTCCTCAAGTACTCGAGGTTAAGGAATATACCCTCTTAGGATAAAACAATTAACTTCATCAGAATAGTGGTACCTCATATTCCGCTAAACTTCGAACTCACTCAACGACATAAATCACACAAAAAAAAATTAAAATACAAGAAGAAGAAGAGTAGAAGATTAAAAAGAGTTGTGGTTGAAAAATTAGAGGAAACCCCTCTATTTTTAGTCAACAAAGGGTAGTATGAACAAGTATTTTTTATGTCTTATTTTAAAAGTCGTGACCTTTCCGAGAAGTCACAACTCTTTGAAAAAGTAACAACTCTTTGGAAAAGTAACAACTCATCGAAAACTCACAACCCTTTGAAAAAAATCACAACTTATCAGAAAAATCACAACTCATCAAAAAAGTCACAACCTAAGTTAGGGATATTATTGTAATTTAACATTCAAGTTAGGAGTTCATGCATTTAAGGTAATATAGATATGATATTATTAATTAAAGAGGCAATATACTAATTCAGGAGATAATGAACTAATTATAAATACATGTATAGTCATTCAACATATCTGCCAAATATTTCATATTATCCATGTAAAACACAAATGATCCGACATGTAATAAAATATTTAATTTTTCATTGAGATAATTTTTAATTTCATTTGGAAATAAGAAATATAATATTGTACATGTTCTACGTCAATAATTATATAAAGTCTAAATAAGTAAGTATCTATTTAATTGTAATCTAGACACAAATTTATTTATATAAGCAGAGAACATATTTAACTAAAAAGGAATAAGAAAAGAATACATTATAAAAGAACATCTAACACTAATACAAAAATCACTTACAAATGGTCATCACTAGAAGCACTTTTACATAAAATAGGATAAATAATTCATTATTTTGTTGTAATTCATACAACATGATAAAAAGATATTATTTCCTTCCAAACATTCTTTACAATTAATGAATCAATCAATTATAACATCTTCGATCGAAATACAACAATAATGTTATTGCCCCTAACAATTCAAGAAAGATCGATGACAACTTTTCTTCTGCGGTCTATGACTATGACTAGAAAGGAAATCAAAAAAAGAAGAAAGAAATGATATACCAAAGATAAGAATATGGATCTTAATTTATAAGAGAGAATTGACAATAACATACTTTAGTAAGAAGATCAGATATGAGATTTGTAAATTCATTTCCCTTTCTAGGTGACTTTAAATAGAAAAACCTTAGGTGAGGGAAGATGAAAGGAAAATAAAATAAAATAGGCCCATCAGTTTCTTACTTAATTATGTAACCTTTGGTCTTCACCTGTAATTCATTGAACAGTATAATTAGGAGTCTTTTTGTCTTCTTGATAATAATTACTTATAACAATTCAATATTAATTCACCATACAACATGAATAAATTGTAAGTTGTAACGAAAAAATTTGATAAATTTGATATTGGCTTAATGTGTAATTCTTCCTTGTAGTAATTAAAATTTACTATTTAATTAATCAATTTATTAGATGATTAATAGTATTTGTATTTGATAGAGGGACAAAATGGTAATCTTACTTTTGCCTAACATTCTTCCCACTTTTAGTATAATATGAATGATATGATATGATTCTATAGTCTACTATTTGCTAGAAACAATTCTAAAAATATTTATTTTATATCACTCAACTATGTCTCAATCTCAAATTCGTTGGTGTCAGTTAAAGATTGATATATGCAAGCAAAAATCAATCCTTTCGTAGAAATTAGACGTCACCAACTAGAAGAGGTGCCAGCCATGACCAACTGATACAGGAGTGGCTGTCAAGACTCAAGAGAGATGTCGATGGTAATCAAAGTTCAAAACGAAAAAAAGAAGAAGAAAAGGAGCCATGGCTGCGAGTACCAGCCAAGACTGTTGGTCTTCAAACGGAAACAAATTGTAATAAACCAATTGAGTAATATGGATTGTAAAGAGGGTTTGTAAGGGGTTTAAAACCTCAATCGTAAAGATAAATAAACAATATTAGTTAAGAATCCTCTGCGAACAATAAAGTGTTCTATCTGTTTGAGAAAGGCTTTCTACTTTTAAGGAAATTCTCATTTGAACAAGACCCTCACTTACTATTCAGGTTTTCGACAAGTGATGATGGCAAATTTGATGAGACCTTTCTTGTATCCTTCAATCATCAGTGGCATTGCCAGTGCAGCTTTGATTGTCTTCCATCCTGATAAAAGGTAACTCCAATAAATCAAATACGAAAAAGGGGTGCCTTAAATTTTTAGTAGTAGTACACATTTTGGCACGACACAACTTACCACTGCGTAGTACTGATGTGAAGCCCTTCCATGTCAGTGCTGACTTTATGACTGCTGGCCAAAATGGAGCAACATTCTCAGACCAGTCTTGTGCCTTAATATCCTGCCAGTAGCCAAAAGATTAGCGGGAACGAAAAGAGTATGTTTGAGATAGGTTCATGACTAGCAGTTAGTAAAATTAATTTACCTGAAGAGAATTGGATTGAAGTAACTTCACATAATCAGCAGTGGAACACCACGCCGGAAGATAGAAGGCTTTACATATCTTATTTAAAAGCTCTTTTTCCTCTGGAGTCAGAGATTCCTCTGAAGGGGAAAGGTCCCTGTGGCACCATGTGACAAGGATGATTGTGCCTCCTGGTGCTGCCACTCGAGCTAATTCGCCAACAAACTAACAATAAAGGAAACAAGGTTAGGGAAAACACTACACAACAATTAGTGACAAGTGCGCCACCATGTACATTTTCTGAAGTTCAAATATACAACGAGATAAGGAAAAAACATGTATCAGATATAATGAACCTTTTCTTTGTTCGGCATGTGTTCTCCACTCTCCATGGACCAAACCAAGTCGAATTGCCCATCTGGAAAAGGCTGATTCAAGGCATCTGCTACTTGAAATGAAACCTGCTCATTTGTATTCCGGTTAATGAACAGAGAGGCAAATTTTATGTGAAAACATATAAAGATATCACAATATGTTGTAGGAGTAGGAGCCAACAGGGGAAAGGTTACGTTGACATACAAATGATATTGAGGAGAAAACCAGTTAACTTTCCTCTTTACTAGCTCCCTTTAGAAATCAGTCCAATTAAAATAGCGTAAAGGGAATCCAAATAACTAATGTAAAATTAAGTGTTTTCACAACTAACTGAAAAAATGATCATACTGTGCCATTTTAGAGAAACACTTCCTGGTGGATGCTGCAATATACAGCCATTATATGTGTAAAAATTATCACATGGATTTATGTTCAGTACAGAATCTCCTGATAAGTATGCAATAATGATTCACTAAACATCAACGAGCAGAAGTTTTGCACAATGAACGTAGCTTTAAGAACTCACTCATTAAAACACATACTATAAACTATCCTCAGTTCTATGAATCAATAAAATACCATTAGTGTTTAACTTATTCAAGAAGACATGCTCAAGTGATTTAAGTTTCTCACACATAGCGTTGTAAAGCAAATCTAGCTCAAAAGCATATACCTTATCCCCCAATCCCTGAGCATCAGCAAGAGCTTGAGCCCTCTCTGCTTGTACAGGACTCAAAGTGATACCTTTAGCTGCAGCGCCATATTTCTTTGCAAGGTACCTAGAACTGCCTCCTATGCCACATCCAACATCAACTATGGACGTTGGTTTTTTTCGCTGGATCTTCTGCACATATACAATATGCTAGTAAATTAAGGTACTCATTATAAGAACAAAAAAAATGATTGATTTCAGAATACATAACTACAAAAGAAGGAAGTGTCAAAAACACAGTTTCTCATCATTCATGTAGGAAAATCAATCTTACAACATGCAAGTACTACCAAGTCGGATAATTAGAAAAGTTTTCCTTGCCCTGACATGAGTAACAAAAAATCCTATGAGAAGCATGATCGCCAGCCAGTGGAAGGTTATTTATATTTCCCCAATCCATGCACTAATTTATCTTGTATAAATTGCCTTTGTATAACTAGGTTCAGGACAATTATATCTTAGCCAGTCACAAGAATGACTCCATAACCTTCCTTTTCACTAATTTTCCAACCATGAAAAAATCCCGAGTTTATGCATCTGCAAATATCTATATAAATACAAATAGTTGAAATAATAAGAGAGATACAAAACAACTATTGTATACAACTCATATGGAAAACGTTGGATTGTTAATTGCAACATGTAAGATAGCACAACAACATACACCCAGTGTAATCTCACAATTGTGTTCTGGGAAGGTTAGACTGTATGCAGACCTTACCCCTATCTCGTGGAGGTAGGGAGGTTGATTCTAAGTGACCAACATTTAAGATGGCACAAATAGCAAAAAAAGAAGTTCAGCTTTACGAAAGTGACAATTAACATTGCACAATCTTTAACCTAACAAATGGTCCATAGAGACATAAATATAAATGAAAGTCAAGCTACTATTAACAACACTATAGCTTGCCCCCATGCTACCACTAAAACTCAATCAAATAGGAGCTGAGGACCACAACACAGTTTCTTACACCTAAATCCATGATCATGTAGGCGGATCCAAAATGCCACCATAGTGCATAAATCCAGATTATTCGGACTCCAATGCAGATACCAGATATCAAATAGGAAGCCCATAAGCTGTTACTAGCTATCAATATATTCAGAAACATAACAAAACAAAAAAATTCTTGTCTTTCTCACATAATCTGAAAAACATCATCTACACCCTTTACTCTTCAGAGTTCAGCCTTTTTGTCTTCAACATCTTGTTTCCCCATTTCTTGGACTCAAAGTCAATAGACCCTTCTTTTTCCTTGGAAAAAACTCCAACTTCTTAGCTTCTTCTATGGATAATAACAAAAGAGCTCTAAACCTAGAGGCAGATTCTATCAATACAGATTAGGGGCAGAGTTTTTTTCCTTTTTGGTTTCCCACCTAGTGTTTGGTAGTCACATTGAGTTCGATTAAATCCAAATTCATGTCGAAAAATCTCATATTAGGTAAAGTGCTTCCTAACAAAGTGACTTCATAGGACTCGAACCCGAGACCTTTACTTACCACTCTACCACAACCTGTATTGGTACCAGGGCAGAGCTAGTAAAGGTTCAGGGTCATCCAAAACCTTTCAGCAGAAAATTACACATTAAAATTATTTTTATGTATATATACAAGATGTTACCCCTTTCAACTTCAACTTTTTCATATTTTGAAACCCTAAAAATTCTCACTAGTCACTATCGCCAACAACAATAGTCTATTTCCGATAGATAGTAGTAATACTAATACTCTGAGAATGGAAGAATCCCATTTTTACCAGAAATAGCAGCAAAACTTAGCGCCTTTTCAATCATACGGATCTGAGCAGCACGATGATCAGAAAGTTCCACAGATGACTGAGGTTCATAATATCCATGATGCATATGGTCACCCCAAATATCTTCCCAAATCCCAGAAGACTCATCATATAAATCTGCAATTCCTTTTTTCAACTCCTGTTGATTCTGTATTCCAACTTCTACTGATGATGAAGACACAACATTCATCGCAGTAACACTAGCCGTTCTTCTTCTACTATTACTACTACAAGTAATGATTCTTCTCCTTGTATAATTTTGAATAAAATTACTGTGAATCTGGGGTTTATGAAGAGCGAAGATAACAGAGGAGGAGGAGGATGAAGGACACGTGGGGTTCAATGATTGGATAGTACAAGCGGAATAGCATGGGCTGCCCATTATGATTTATTACTATATACTATCTATAGAAATAATTTAGGGGACAGTTGAAGCAATGAAAGAAGGAGAAACAATGAGCTAATAATTGTTTGTTTATTTATTTATTTACTAATAGCAGCAATATTGGAATTTCCAAAAGAAATGGAAAGTGATAACATCACATGCCAAAAAAATAGCAGGTATACGTGGAGTGTTACATATCTTTAATTTCCACTTATATTTGGATGCTAAACCGGGATACCAGATAGAGAATCTGAATCTGCACTCGATAAAATTTGAATCACGCATTATAAGACATATTTTTTTATATTTAAGATTTAAATTTAAGATATTTAATTAAAGATGTACTCACTTAGTTCCAATTTATGTAGTACTTTTCTAATTTTGAGATTTCAAACAAATCTATCTTTCACCTAAATTTTTCATGTCTTTTAAATATTTTGTAGGGAAAGGGGTCAAAATACCTTTAAATTATGTGAAAGGAACAAAAATGTCTTTCGTTTATAATTTGGTTCAAAAATATCCTTACCGTCAATATTTTGGTTCAAAAATGCCCTTGCAGTCAATATTTTGGTCCAGAAATACCTCTATAGTTATAAAATGGGTCAACAATGCCTTTTTACGAATAAATATTTTTTTTTCTTTTTAAACGCATCTTCTTCCTAATTAAAATATTATTAAAGAACACTATTCTTGTTTTTTTCTTCTAAAATCACTTTAACAAATAAAAATGTAGAAAAATATTTTTGTTCTTCTTAATCTCATTTTATCAATTAAAATAGAATAACTTCATGTACCATTGCGATAAATAATATATGTCATATATATATAACATCATTGTAATCCATCATTAATTGATATTTATATAACGATAAAAAATAATGATAATAAAATAAGAAATATTTTTTTCCTGAGTTGAAGTAAGATAAACATTTGCTAATTTAAAAAACATTATTAGAAAAAGAATGTGTTAAAAAGAAAATAATGATATATTTATTTGGAAAATGAGCATTTTTTGTGACCCATAAAATTACAATAAGGGCATTTTTGGACCAAACTACAAATGGAGGATATTTTTGTTCATTTCACATAGTTTAAGGGCATTTTTGAACCAAAGTATTGACAGTAAGGACATTTTTGAGCTAACCTATAAACTGAGGGCATTTTTTGTTACTTTCACATAGTTTAAGGGCATTTTTGAACCAAAGTATTGACAGTAAGGACATTTTTGAGCTAAACTATAAACTGAAGGCATTTTTTGTTACTTTCACATAGTTTAAGGGCATTTTTTACCATTTTCCCTATTTTGAATTGTCAATTATTGTGACACATAATCACTTGTACGTAGTTTACAAATATATAAATTTCATTTCAAAAACTTTGAAGATTTCAAGCGCAAATTTCTTATCAAACTTAAACTATTTGACTTTCGAAAAACTAAAAGTGTCACATAAATTGGGGCAAATGTAGTATCAATTTACCAATGTTCCACAACTCATATTGGTAAATAGAGAATTAAGTAGTAATTTCTACTTGTAATAAGAATAAAATATTTTTAAAATATCTATTTGATTATAAAATTTTGATTTTAATTTTTTTTTCAAATTGACCAATTTTTGGGACTTTAACTCAGTAAACTTTTAAAAAAATTCTAAGTAAAATGTATGCTCAAATACTTGATCCAATTTACTTCTGTTTATTCAGGTTTAACAAATTGTGAGAATACATATTTTTTTCATCATTTCTATTTTTAACATTAATTACTTATTCTCAAAATTATCTTCAGAATTTAATACTAAATATAAAATAATCACAATAACAATTATTTTTTTAATAAATATAGAGAAAATGGCCAAATGCCCCCTCAATGTATATCCAGATTTCCAACTACACACTTAAACTTTACGGAAGTCCTATCATCCCCCTAAACTGTTTAAAAATGAAATAATTATACCCTTAAAAAGCCATAATTAGGTCTATGGTGGCATGTGAATTTCACTCATTTGACAAGTGGAAAAGTCATTAAATATATTTTTTTTTCATTTTTTATATTTCTTTACCCTTTTCTTTTATATTTTCACCCATCCCTTCCATCACCAAAGCACTTTCACCATTTTCATCATAACTAGAACACCATAAGTTCATCGAAATTGGGTCTTTGAAGAAGATATGTGAATAATGAATTGAGTCTTTGAGAAAGATAGGTGAATGATGATTGCAGAACTCGTTCAAAGATATTTGGACATTGCTCTGAAAATCTAAAAAACAAATTAAAAAAAGTGAAGGAATAGGGGAGAGAGGACGAACATGGAAGAATATTGTCATTAATGAAGGTCACCGAAGCTCTTGAGGAAGATGAGGAGGAGGAGCCTACGATGTCTTCCACATCATCATCAATAATTTCAAAGAGGAAAAGTCCGATTCACCGACGATTGATGAATTAACATGATTGATAGCGATAATTTCTGAGATGTAGTTGATTGATTGAGATTTGAGATTGATAATTAAAGGATCTATTAGTAAAAATTTGAATTTGAAGTAAACCCAGATCCCCCAAGATGCTAGTTCTTAAAAGGCAAGAAAGAATAAAATTGGTGTGCCCCATTCTGCAGTTTCTAGTGCTGCCTCCCAAATGAGGTGAAGATACGAACATTTAATCGGTCAATGAATCTGGGAGGAATGTTCAAGAATCCTTGAACTCCATGGAGAGATTAAGCACAATATTGTCAAATGGTTGGGAGTCACAATGTGTTCATCTGTAAAATGTGCACTTTTGTATACATTAAAAATTATTTGTAAGAGAATGTGCACTTTGTACCCAAATAATTCATCAAGTAAATTAATATATTATATTAAATTTTTTATTTTTATTTTTAATAAAAAGTAAACCCAGGTTGTTTTTTCTCAAATCAGATCTAAAGTATTTTGGGGTGATATGAATATGTAAATATTTATCTACAATTGATTTAGGTTGATTGGTTTTGCAAGAGTTTTACATGGGTTTGAAAATTTGTTTGAAGTCAATAATGATAAAATCGATGGAGATGGTGGTGACAACAATGACTTAGAGATGGTGAAAGATGAGGAAATTTGATTTATATTGCTATGGAGAAGAAATAAGAACAAAAAATAATTTAAAATAAATATATTTATTGAAAAAGGATATTTATTTATTTATTTTATTTTATTTTTTTTATTTCCCACCCGGTGTCCGGAGCCCACATTGGAGCTCCGACTAAATCCGAATCGCGTTTGCAAAAAGAAAGAAAAAAAAGAAAAGGGATATTTAAAACAAAATTTTAATATTGTTTTGGCTGCTCACTTTGCCAGGTAAGCATTAAGAGAGGTAATAATTTCAGTTTTATAAAATTCAGGGGGGTAATAGAACCCCCGTAAAGTATGAGTGTGTAGTTGGGAATTGAGGGGTAGTTTTTCTTATCTTATATAGAAGCCACAAGTGAGCTTTTTCATTGGTTGCACATACAGTGGCGGATCCAGGATTTAGAGTCTGTGGGTGCCAAATAGACTTATCGATTAAATTAATTTTATATTTGATTGAATTATTCGTCTTATCGATATATATCATAAATCAATCAATAAAATATAAATAATAAGATATTACACTTTTATTGAGTATTTAATCAAATAAAAGAAAAGTCAAAAGAAGAGTAATAATGTAATTAATTTAATTTAAGTCAATAACAATTATAAAAAATAAAAATAAAATTGTGCCAGCTATTTTTCCTTAAAAAAACGTGCTTGGAGCTTTTTTTTTTCTTAAAAAACGTATGCAGCAAATTTCTCAAAAAATAGGTACAAATGGGATTCAAACCCGCAACATCAACCTTCTAAAGTTGCCCTCCTACCATGGCACCAGATGCCAATTTTGTTTTGTGGGTAACACACTTTATATTTATATAAATTTTATATATATACCTATGTATATATAGAGTTTTCGTCGAAGTTTGGGGGTGGCGTGGCACCCCCACAACCTGTCATAGATCCACCACTGTGCACATATAATTTATTGTGGCTGCAGTTGTAGTTTAGTGACGGAGTCAGAAACTTTATTGAGTGTCACGACCCAAAAATGGACCTGATGGCACTCGTCTTAACCCTCCAAGACAAGTCAGCCTAAAACTCAACCATTACAATAAAATGCGGAAACTTTTATAATAAACTCAAAAATACTCCAAAAATCTGGTTGTCACTGTACAAGCCTCTAAAGTATTACAACTGATTCAAAAGAAAAACACAAGTCTCAAATGACATTGTTTCTAGAATAGAACAAGATAGTAATTAAGGATAAAGAAGGTTCGCTGAAATGACAAGCAACTACCTCCCAAACCTCCACAAGAAGCCTCAGACAAGGAGAAGAGAAAATATCACAAAGGTCCGGGCTAGTAACCTACAAAAAAATGTAGTAGCAAGGGGTAAGTACCAAACCACGCGGTACTCAGCAGGTAAACCTCTAAACACAAGCTAAGGGGATAGAATACGAGTACTCCTTACACCCCAACCGAACCTCCACAACTACAACATGCATAAAATCAGCATAAACCTAACAGTTCACAATTCACATAACAGATATCTCAACAACAACACTCTAACAATTACATATCCTCAACAACAATCTCAATATTCATCAATTACAATCTCCACAACTACAACCTGCTTAAAACCAGCTCAACCTAACAGTTCACAATTCAAATAGCACATATCTCAACAACAACACTCTAACAATTACATATTCTCAACAACAAGCTCAATATTCACCAATCAAAGTTCCACAGAAAGACACTCACAAGATCAGCAAAACACGATATCAAGTTCAATAATGATAAATATGTGCAATGCAATGGAAAGTATAGTGATGCATGTCTGACCTAGTGATACACACCCGCTGTCTCTCAGTCCGGGACCCATGGGGGATATATCTGTCCATGCATCTATCACGGTGAGCGATACGACCCTCGATAATAGTAACCATCGCGGCACGCGATACGTCCCTCGAA